ATCGTATCGAAAGAGTTTCGTCGTATCTCTTATTATGATTTTAATATAGTTTCGTCTAAGTTTCGACTGTTATTAAGGGGTTTTGTCCTTCATCATTAATATAAGATGAAGACTATATATTAATTAGCTATAAATAAGATAAGTTAAATTTAGCTGAATTTAGCTGATTCTTGATGTATACAAATTGACTAGATTGATTTTGATTATTTGTTGATTTTTAGACTGATTTTTTACATGTTCATTTTTTTTGATTTCAACCAATATTTATCATTTATAAAAGTAGTGATATAATTAAAATATTTATAATGATATCTAATTTGTCTTATTTTTAAAATTCACATTACATGTTGAATTTACTAACTTAGATTCTATACAAATTATTTTTTATTAATAATTTAAACTTAAATTAATTAGCTTTTCTTCTTAATACTGATTTAATGATTCTTATAAGATATTTTAACTCATATTTAAATAAGATCTTATTTTATTTTACATGATCAATAATAATTTATTAATTTTACTTCTTTAGAAGACTTTAACATTATATTAGTAAAATAATAAAAATTTAAAGGAAATATATTGTATTAAATAGTTTTATTTGAAATACATTATAAAAAATGTGATTTTTCAAATCACAAATTTAAAAATTACTCTAGAAAAAGTTTTTTTAATCCTTTTAAACCCTATATGACTGATTTAAATTTAAATAATATAGATCATCATAATCTTATACAAATTACATATTTTAAAATAAAGGATCAATATATTATATAATTTTATTTTTTATCAAATTTTATAATTATTAATAAAATTTTAATAAATTTTAATATAGTTTTATATTTAATTAAATTTTAAAATTTTAAATAAGTTTAAACTATTAAATTTTAATTTAAAACTTACAAAAATGATAATTCTAATAATAATAAATAGTAACAATATAATGATTTATAAAATTTTAAATGTATTTCATTTTAGTAATTAAATATATTGTATAAAGTTAAATTATATATTATCAATTTAGAATTTATAATATATATATTTTTTTTAACACAATGTAAAAGTAATAGATTATTAATTTGTTATTTTAATAATCAATTCAAATATGTTTTTATGATTAAGAAAAGCAACTAAAAAGAAGTCATAAGTAATAATAACCAGCTTAGCAACAATATTATTTTAAAAATTAGATTAATAATTTAATTTATTTAATTTTGAAAAATTGTTTTACATTCTTTTATAATTTTTGATCATTATATCTGCAATTGGACAGATCTGCATAATGGCAACATTGAAATGGGCATGTAAAACGAAAAAATTCGATCCTTCCTTCCTTCTTAAGTTCCTTTTTTTCAATATTAAAATATGAGTGACCGAGGAAGTTATTCTAGTACTAGTGCGAGTACTAGTAGCAAAAGCGCAATATCAGGCAAATCATTATTTCTTTTGTTACACGATTTTTAGATATAAATTTCATATAAACGCGTAAATATTTTTTTCAAATTAAAAATGACAAACATTAGGTCCATCCACAAATAATAAAGAAAAGTCCAAAGATTATCATCGTATGGATTGTAAAAAGATCCAAATCCTACCTACAACCGGTTCTCTTGATTATTACACTGATGGAAGAATGGCAGTACGTTTTCATGAATCTACGCAAGAAATGAGCTTGTGGTTGAACGATTTAAAGGATGAAATTTTCATCCCGTTCGATCAGGTATATTAAAGCTTTAAGGCCCCCCATTTTTAGTTATTTATTTGTAATTTTCTCAAAAGATAAATCTTTTCTAGCTGAAAGGATTCAGAATTGCAGAATACAAAGAACTAGAAGTCTCCCTCGTACTTAACTTTCACAGAAAGGTAAATATTTTGATAGCTCATTAAATTCATCAAATCAAAACCAACCGTATCAATTTTTTTTTTTTATATGTGAAAAAGTATTATCAAAACGACGTAGAGGTAAAAGGAGATCCAACCAACGGTTTGTTAGAAAAGGCGACATCATTGATTATTACACCGCGTAATAATGTTCCAATTGAAAGTTTGACTACGATTGAAGATATTATTGATAAGTACAGATTTGGTATATTTTTAGCAACCTACAAAATTTCGAGCATCCGGGTATGAGTTTTTCAAATGCTAATTATTTATAAATGAAAGATCTTTTTTTCACTTATGTAAATTTATATTATTAGCGCGATCCTGTCAATTCAATTGAGGTATGATAAAGTTTCTATACTTTTCGATCCATATTTAAAATATTTATGATTTATTTAGGGAAGATGAAAATTATCTTTTACAGATATATGTGAAATTTTTCATGTATGTAGAACGTGGAGGAGTTGTCGTACCAGAAGACATTAGTCTTGATGGAATAATACAAACCATTTCAAAAAAGTTCAAGTTTTATCTTAATTCTGACCGGTTATCCTATAAAAATGGGGTGGATGTTATTATTGCCATTAGAGATGAAGAAGATTGGAGCGTTGCTAAATGGGAATCAAGATATTCTAATACTAAACCTGGTGTGGAGCTTTATTTCATTTGAGAGGGAATATTTGCTATATTTTATAGAAAGAGTTGTGGACGAAAAGTATTAGCAACCGATATAAATTTTGTATTATCAGAGATAAGGTAAAGGCGTTTACATGTGAAAAATCTTTCTCACCTTTTTTTTATACTCTTATTTCAACTTTGAATTTAAAATAAAATACACACAATTCTATTGGCAAGTACCAAATAAGCATTGTTAGACAAAAAAAAAAAAGAATAATTCATCACAAAATGATATTATTGATTACTATAGAAAATATGAATTCATGTGAGAATTTGTTTTACAGGAATATCAAATTCGTTTAATAGAAGAATAATGTGAATTATTTCAATGAAACATTCAAAAGGAGAAAATCAATTTTGGAAGTCTATCAATTTATAAATCGGTTCATAGTTGGGGTTTTCATTTAATAAAGTTTCCATTGGTTGAAACATTGGTCTATATTGATTCACTAATTTGTTTTCTAATACACCGTTAACACCACCTTTAATGAATTCATCCCATGATACCCATTTCCAGCATTCGCATTTATGTGGTTCCATCACCTTTATATAAGATTGACGTTAAATTAAAGATTCATCAATAACAGGTTGTAACATTTATATTAGTCATGTTTACCACAGGTTCTACATTTCCATCTACTACTTCAGCCCTCATAAAAATATTTACGAAATGTTTATTTTCATCAGGCATTGGATCATTCGTCACTGCTTGAAATGTTATATTCTTTATCTCAAGACTTGTCTCCTCTAAAACTTCTCCTAATTTTATAAAAATAAATTATTCTCAAGTATAAAAAAGATAGAAATAATAACAATATTATAATTTTTATTTACGTTCTGCACAATCTACGAATGATTCACCAAATTCCAGGCTACCTTAAGGATAAAATTAATTCGATTGCATTAGTGACTAACCGGAAAACTTATTGTAAAAAAGAATATACAGTAGAAAAAGGGGAAACGGCTGGAAAAAAAAATAAAAAATGAGTTAATGCAAAAAATTAACATATTTTGACCTAAAAATCAAAATTGGCATATAAAAGTAAAATTGATTTTTTCCAGCTGTTTCCCCCCTTTCCATATTATCATTCACCTCCAGGAAGTTGCCAAGTTCCTAAAAAAATATATCCAATAATAGATTAATAATTATAATTATAAATTTGATGATTTGCTCGTACTCACCGGCGCAGTGAGCTCCTTTTCGTTTTCCGAGGAGAAATTTGTTATCACGAACCACGAAAACACCTAAGCCTACACGAGGATGATCACAAGTGTCGCCGGAAGACATTTCTTTTTTATCTACTTTACGCTAAATTTGGAAAAGTGCGTCATGCCAGTATTAAATAAAAAAGAGTATGATCTACAAAAAAAAAATTTGGTTTCTTTAACAATGTTATCAAATAAAGAAAACAATGAATTACAACAAGAAGATTTTAATAGCGATGTTATTAAATTTCCACCAGAATTAGAAAATTCGATTAGTGAAATATTACAGACTAATGATCTTATAGATAATAATGATTTTATTCCGATAGAATATATTAATCAAATGCTTCCCAACGGTAAATATAAATAATCCTTTTTGAAATAATTTTAATTTTAACAGATATATTATAATTCTTAAAAAAAAAAGAATATGCATTGGCATCAATCGATGAAACGACAAAACGGCTTCAGTATAAAATGCGTCAGTTGGAAGGGGAAATTCATGAACATACTAGATTACAAACAAATGGAGGTCAGCAAGGTTACGAAGAAGTAGCCGAAGCAAAAAAAGCTATTGAGGTGATTATTTAAATAATCTGATAATAATTACTGATTGATGATGATGATGACAAGCAATTGATGTATTGGAGTATAATAGGAATTATTTAAAAGGATTAGACAAATTAAAGAAAAAGCTACTCAATCCGAAATCATGGTACAAGAGATCACTCAAGATATCAAGTCACTGGATTTTGCAAAAAGACATTTAACTACCTCAATTACTGCTTTAAAAAGGTTACAAATGTTAGGTAATAAATCTTTAATAAAAAAAAAAATTAAATTAAATTTAAACAATTCTATGATAGATCACACACATATATATATATTTTCTCTTTCTAGTTACTGCAGTGGATCAATTAAAAGTTATGGCAAAGATGAAACAATATAAAGAAACTTCACAGCTTTTACAAGTAAGCTATCGTAGTTTTATTAAAATGATTCCTTTTTTTTCTTTAAAATTAAAATTTGTATTTTTTTGTTTCTAGGCAGTTTTGCAACTTGCATCATATTTCAAATCATACAAGAGTATTAAACAGATAGCCGAATTATCAATTTCAATAGCCACTTTTCAAAATGAATTAAAAAAACAAATATTTGAAGATTTTGAATCAAGGTGCATAAATTTATTAGGGAAATATTTTTAAGGTTTATTACAGTCATTAAACATATTTACATATCACTTAGTTTTGCTTTGGAAGGGAGTCTTGCGACTCAGTCGGCACTCCTTGGCGATGCTTGTTTAGTCATAGATATTATGGGACAAGATGTAAAGTAAGAAGACTTTTTTTTTTTTTTTAAAAAAAAAAAAGGTTTGAGAAAATGAAATTTATTTCTAATTTGGAAATTTTCAATTCATTCTTTCCTTAATAGAAACAATCTTATTAATTGGTATTGTGAGAAACAATTAGGAGATTATAAGAGGATATTTCGAGGAAGCGAGGAGGTATTCAAAAAAAAAAATTTCTTTTTTAACAAGGGATTTTTTTTATAGATGCTAAATTACCTGTACAACCAGATTGCATCGCTTGGTAATACTTCAAGACGATATGCATGGATAAAAAGAGTATTGAAGATTTATGATGAAGTGCATGCCGATATTTTTCCTTTACATTGGAATGTTAGTGAAGTTCTTTGTATCAGATTTTGTGAAATAACTGGGTAAAATATAGTCTTTTTAAATTCACTTTTATTGAGTTAAACTTGCTAAAAGATATTAAATAATTTTGTGATTTATTTTTAAAGGGAAGATTTAGTGAAATCACTTTCTCGAGCTAAAAGCGAATTGGATGTTAAAAGTTTGCTCAAGAATTTACAGTTGACACTTGAATTTGAAAATCAATTAGTAAAACGTTTCACAAATATGGTAGACATTTCAAAATATATGATCATTTGTTAATTTAAAGCCTTAGTATTGATGAATACGTAATATAGGACAAACCACCTCGAGCATCAAATACGGAAAATACTTCATCAAAATATAATTTTAATAAAAGTATTTCGATAGCCTTTGAACCTTATCTTGGACTGTACATTGATGCCGAAGACAAGTACGCGTTTAAAATTGAATCTTTCATTTTTTTAAGTTTCATAACAAATATCTTTTTTTTCCTTTAAAAAGGAATATGGCAGAAATGATTTCGACTTATCGTATGGAGGCAGTTCCTGATGACGATAACTCAACATCCGTCTTGCAATCCAGTATAGAGTTGTTTTTATATTATAAAGAAACGTTGGTTAATTGTTCAAAGTTATCAACGCGTAAGCCTTTCTATGATTTATGTATCGTTTTTTCAAAATGGCTTCGTACTTATGCCAATGATGTTTTAATTGGAAGATTGCCAAAGTTTGTATCTTATACATGTTTTCATTATCTTTAAAAGAGTATATATATAGACAATTGATCATTTTATATTACAAATAGGGAAGAACGTCGAGCTATGACGCGTGATGAATTGAAATTAATTTGTTTAATTTTGAATACGGCAGATTATTGTTACAATACGATACCGCAAGTGAGCATTTTTAACAGTTCGTAATGATTTTATTGAACTTTTTTGTTAAAATTGTTATATTTGATTAGTTGGAAGATAAATTAAAAGAAAAGATTCAAGAGGAGTATAAAGATAAGATTAATTTGGACGTTGAGCGAGATTGTTTCTTAAAGTAAGGCAGAAATATCAAAAATAAGTTGATGTTTTTTTCAATTTGATGATTTCATTTGACCATAATTTAATTAATTTGATTTAGCGTTGTAACTATATCAATTAAGGCTCTAGTGAGAGGGATTGAAACTTGTTACGAACCGACATTAACAACCATGACCAAAATACCCTGGAACAATTTAGAATCGGTTGGAGATCAGTCCGAATATGTCACTCTATTTCACAATACCTTGACACGTTGTGTTGTTAGCGTACATAAAGATATCACCAATAACCGTTATTTTAGATCCTTCTGTGATAAATTCGTGGAGTAAGCGAAAAAAAAATTGGTATTTTTTAAAAAAAAGGTTTTTGATATTAAACAAAATATATAATTTTTATAGGTCTTTCGTATCAAAAATTATAAATAATTTGTCAAAATGTAAACCAATATCTGAAGTGGGGGCAGAACAGGCAAGAAAATAACAACAATATATTGATTTATTTTTTATTTTTTTAAGAGAACCTTTCTTATGAATGAATTGCTTTATTACAGATGTTACTTGATATTCATGCGCTGAAAACATCTATATTAGAAATGCCAACTATGGGAATGGAAAATCCGGCGCCACCGCCAACAACGTACGTATTATCATCCTGATTAATAATATTAAATGGTCTATAAAGCAAGGTTAAATTTTCTTTTCTATAGGTTTACAAAGATTGTAAATAAAGGAATTGGCAAAATTGAAGCTATATTAAAGATGATCCTTACACCACATGATCCTCCTGAAGGGTTATCTGAAAATTATATTTTATTAATTGGCGACAAGAACATTACGAATTTCCAAAAAATATTAGAACTTAAGGTATAATTTTGATTACTTTTGATATTCATGAGACCTGTGAAATTTTCTAAAGCTTTTTTCTTCACCATGAATAGGGATTAAGGAGAAATGAACAACAACAATTGATAGAACAATTTCAACAACGGGTAGCAGATGATACGACATTATCCGAAAACTCCAATATATTATCATCAATCAACATATCACAATCTATTGCACCATCATTACCGTCATCATTTCCTACGTTGTTTACCAATCCCTCATCATCATCAAACACGAATAATCTAACGTCACAAACTCTTGGTGGTTTTAATTCCGATAAAAGTGCCGCTAATAAATTTGAAAGTGTAAGAAAAATCATGACCGTTAATTGGCGCAGAAATGATTCTTCTAATAAAAAGGATGATGAAAAATGATTGATTTTTAATGTTGGAGGTTGAGATGGAATGGAGATGAAATGAGGAATTCGCTAAATGTTTTCTTGCTTTTCACTTAACCAAAAATAAATTAAAACGAATAAAAATGCGAGAGCCGTTAACATGTAGATTTCATAATCGAACATCCTTTTGTAAACGAACAACCTTTTTTTTTTTTGTAAGGAAAATAAATCGACATAAAATGAATTATCTGATTGGCTCACAACTTTAGTGTAACTTTGAAAAAACGTTTTGAAATATAATTTATTAATATGAATTGAATAAAGTCTTTCATTAAAAGATGATGTCAATATAAAATTAATATTTTTTTTATGGATACACGTTGAACACTAAGAATGATTGCGCGAGGAAAATGACACATATTAAATGTGTTGTTAATTACGACGCTATCCTTTCTGCATCCGACTTATTTTTTTTTTTTTTTTTCCGTGATTAATAATAATATGAAGGATTTATTGACAAATAATTGGATATCAATAATTAATCATCAAAATAATGATGTTATATTATTCCATTAGAAATTATCATGAACCACATGGATTAAAACATTAATAATTAAACAGAATTAATAACAGAAGTAGTAAATAGAAGAAACGTGGAATTTCCATCTTATGTTATCAACGCGTCCAAAATCTTTTAGTTTTTCCTTGTATTTTTATTTATTTATTTATTTATTTATTTTATTTTTTTTCGCTCGCATTGTATACCTTGGTTGTGAAAGAATGCCTTTGAAGATGCAGTGAGTGACATGCATCAAAGGTGAGGAAAAAAAAAATATCAAACAATTCTCATAATACGAGGAGAAAATCATTTACACGCTCGTGATGATACTTCAATGAAAATTCATTATGGAAATGTTATTTTTGGATCGATTTATGATCCAGGCAAACAATTAGTTTTTTTTTTGGTTTAATGAAAATTCTTTTAGAGATACAACTTCTTGGTTAAGTTACGTGACAAATTTCAATTTGCATCGAAAATCGAGGATAAACCGGCTTGGTCGGCTGAGTAAATAACCAAGCGTACTACTAAAAAAAAAAAATGTAAACAATAATAGAATGATAATCTATTAGTTTCCATGTCTTTCATGTCTCTTTAAAAAAAAATAAAAAAAGCTAGACCGGACCAAGATATATTGGTCCTTCAAAATCCCGCGAAAAAGCACCCAGGAGGCTTGGCTTTTTCGTATCCTTTCTTATTTTGTAACGTTCGGAAATTACCAAATGAAACGTTTTGAGAAAATTCCGATAATAAGAAATGTTTTTTACTTAGCGGGCCTCGGATGGAAATTAAACCGACATCAACGTCATGTCAGACCAATAAAATCTGTGTCCCAAATATGAATGATCACCTTTGGTATTGATTGGTTGGAAAAATGCAAATCTGATATAACCGCCTCTAAATTTATAATTTTGAGGTGTTGCAAACAGATTGTTTCGTCCATTTTTTTTTTTTTTTTTCATTTTTAATTTTCAGTTTCCTTCTTTGTTTTAAAAAAAAAAAATAAAATAAAAAATAAAAATTAAAATAAAAAAAAAAAAAAAAAGCGTGAATCAATGAACGACCGTTCAGCAGATTATGAAATTTATCAAATAATCCATCATTATTATTATTTACCTTATTTGGATGCAATCAAAAATCCTCCATAAAAGGTTATTAAGCAGCGAACATCATTTGACGTTACTCCGAAGATTATATCATAACTAACAAATAAGGGAAATCTTCCCTTAATCATTTCGATCGAATGAGTTTCCGAGTTTTATTACATGTTTTGCGTTTCCTTTAGAACGAGTCATTTAATTTGTGAACGTATTATATTTTAAAAGGTGTGTGCATAAAGGAGCGTTTGATTCATTGAATCATCGATTATACAGCATACCGGATTTTCCCTAGTTTCATTCACAAAATGGAAGACGTTATTTAGGAAAATAATAATAAATAAAAAACATCTTGCGGAAATTACAATATAAACATCTCGAAGATCAATCTAGATTTTCTCTGAGATCAAAATTTTTTTTTTTTATCATACAGATAAGAAACGAAAAAAAAAATAACAAATCCACGAGGATAAGATTATAAATGATTTGTGTTACAAAACAATTACAATCAATCGACCCTCTAGATTCATTTATTTATTTATATTATTTTAATTTTAATTCTTCCAGAAACCAAAATTTATGGTTCGATTTGATCCTAACATCGACTGATAATCCTTATCTATATACTTTAATAAAGTGTTACATTATGTGTGCAATTGTTATCTTATCGGTGGTTTTTTTTTTGTTTCCACCTCAAAACAAAAAAAAAAAATCACACGTAACACTTCATCTCAGTTATTCTTTTAAAGGGTCAGAAAGTGTGTTCCACTTTAAAAAAAAAAAATAATAATAATAATAAAAAAGAATTTTTTCGGTTAACGGATTGAAATCTTATCGCCTTCGTTATCATCATGATGCTTCCGCCGTCTGAAGGATGATGATTAATCGTTATGTTTATCCCAATTTATGAAATGCTCTCTTGGTACATGTGGGAAGTACACGATGATATAAATGTTACCAAGCGCAGAAACAAATATATTTACCTTTAGGCATCATTACATTGCCGCAAAAAAGTCACGCACTGTCTTATCGGATCAGTGCGCAATTTTTCTACCGACACAATTGGACATACATGGTGACTTAAATTGAGGCATTTTGTCATCATATAGTTACATATGACCATGTGGTGGAGGATGTCAAAGCTGTCTCACGGATAATTTTTGAATTTTGTGGAATTTCTTTTCGAGCGTGATAAGCGTTTTTTCCTTAATAAGGTAAAGCTCCCTTTTAAAAACATGCGTCATGCCCTGTGGATCTACTTACACAGACCGCAAAAAAAAAAAAAGAAAAAAAAGGAAAAAAAAAAAGAAATTTTTGATTTACATCGCATAATACACACACACAGAGCTGATTCTATTTTTTCTCTGTGCATGACACATTTCCCGCCTGTAACACATTGTACCTTTGATGTTCTTTGTCCTGTTAATGCAAGGTAATAAACTGGTAATGAAATACATATTGGATTGGATGGTAAGGGAATTGTTTTTAATTGCGCACACACATTCTTCTTTCTACATGATATGAACCACTTGTATCTGATCGGATGACTTGAAATCCTGTTTCTAATAACTTGATGGCAATTAATTACCCCCTCCAATTACTTAGTAATGTGATCGACGACGATTATCTAATCCTTTCCTTCTAATCCTTTCGGATCCGGGTTCCTAAATTAGTAAGTTTTTATCCAAAGAGCTACTCAAATAACAGAACATCGATGATATTGAGATTTTTTTTTTTTTTTTTTCGAGAAAAAAAAGGGTTACGTAATATAATAGTCATTTCTTGATTTCTAAATTGAATTACATTAATTCCGAAACTTTGATGCGGTGAATCCTTCAATGAAACTCGAATAATTTTAAAACCCGACGATTATGTGAAATTCATGAAATTCATGGGATTTGAAGTCGATGATCAACTTGGCGACGTATGAAAACTTTACATATTCTATTCATTCATTCATTCAATTAAAAGATTTTTATTCAGAAAAAAAAAAAAAAAAAAAAGTACATGAAAAAAAAAATTAAACCCAAAAACAAAAAAGAAAAAAAAATTAATCGACCTCAAACGAATGGGATGAGAAATTACTTAAGAGAACTGCATCGAATTTAAATTAAAAATAGTAAAATAAGATGTCCTAATAAATAATAGGATGCAATTAATTAATTTCATGTAAATTAAATTTTCAATTTGAAACCATTATTCTTCTTTATAGATTAATTTTTTTTTATACACTTTGAAAAACTTTTTTCTATTCTTTTTTGTAAATCACGAGGTGACAACAAATTGTCATTCAATAATCATCCGAAATTAAATGAATAGAATAACAAATTCGGTTAAGGTCATCCAACAAATTGATGGTTTAAAGATAACAAAAATAATTTTTCCTGAATCGTCAAAGCAACTTGCTATTATTGTTTGTTTATATTTATGCCTGAGAGATCACATGACAACGGGATTTCCGATCAACCATTTTTCTATTTATTCATTTGTTTTTAGAAAATGATCAACCCAACCTCTATTAACATTTCATCCTCATACGATATATATATATGAAAGATTTATTGAAAATAAATAAAATAAAATAAATAAAATAAAAAAAAAAAAAGAGAGAGATCTTCCCACGCTGTGAAACGTTGTATTTTACGAGCTAAGCCCAAGCTTGACTTCGGTCAATACCGGTATTAAAAAATAACAAGGAAAGACCAAAAAGTTACTTTTACGGTAATTCCGTTAGGGAAGTTACAAATTAAAGAAGAGAATTTATACAGATAGATCAACAGAGATTTACAAAACGTTTCAAAAATTAATTTCGGTTTTTCTCATTATTAAAGTTTAGAGTGATTCTTAGCGCGTGCTTTAAGGGTTTCAACAGATTTTCTCATTTTTAAATTTGGATATATTTTTTGAAATTCCCCGTAGATTAATGAAAATCCTTTGAAAATTATTTGCCAAAATCGTCTATGCATCTTTTTACTCTTTTAAGTAATCAGGGAAAATAGTTTAAAGTAGCAAAAATCTGAATTATATAATGGTCGATTTACATGTGCCTGTAATTAGTAATTATATAATGATTCAAAAAAAAAAAATTTTTGATAATATTGATATTTTTTAAAATGTAACATAATATCAATACACATCAGGTTTTTATATAATTAAAAAAGATGATTTTTTTTGTTGTAAAAAAAAGAATCTACAATATGCATTAGCGTAGGTAAATATTTACAAAATAAAAATTCTTGTTAATGGATGGAAAAACCTTTTAAAAAAAAATTTCTATAAATAATCACGGTTAAGAACCCGCTTTCAAAACAGTGTTCATCGCTCAACATATCTTTTGTTGCTATAAATTCGAAATAAATATTTAATAAAAAAAAAAAAACATTTTCTTTTAAAAAAATTCGCTATTTATCTATTCAAATTTGTAACCATTGTTCGACTTTTTTTCTTTTTTTTTGTATATATTTTCTATATATAAGGAGAGAAGAATTTTCTTTTTAAAAAAAAGTTCATTAGCAAAAGTATTTCGTATCTTTTCATTTTTTGAAAAAATTTCCTTTCGGTCTCAGACAGGCTTCTTTCACAAATTTTCACAAACAAAATTAACGAATTTCGAAAAAAAAAAAAAAAAAATGCAAAACCAACAAAGTCAAAATTTCCTTCCTCCAATCAGTGCGCTTCTTGAACCTTCAATCGATAAAAGTGAGTACTTTATCCCGTGTAAAAAAGATTTCAGATTTTTATTTTTTTTTTATCCTAAAATATTAATTTTTTCTTCTTCATTTTAGCATATAATGGAAGTTATTCTAACTCGACCTCCCCCTCAATGACTTCACCTTACCGTCAATCATTCTCAACGCAATCGACTGACGCACATCATCTTGCTGCACTTAACAAGCAATCCTCTTTACATTTGGGCGGTCTCCAGACCTCTCAACACACCAGTAACATTAGAACGTTGCTCTCCCCACCAGAATCACCTGATATGAAGACGTCCGCCAATTATTCTTCTCCATTTGACTCTTATGGGGTTCAACCAAGATATGAATCCGAAAGATACGTTCCAGTCCCCCAACAAACTCGACAAGTCTACGAAGAATCATGTAGTTGTTGCGCTAAACCAACCCCTGTCTACTCACCTTCGTCTTACTCCTCATCATCGATTTCTTACGCTCAACCTCAACCTCAAAGATACTCTTACTACCCAAATTCCATAACGCAAATTTCCCCT